CTGATTCGAAATCAGTTAGTGCAAAGGAAACAACAGACATTAATGTATGTCATTTTGCTCACGCTTACCCATCAGGCGCAATGGCCGAGTGTGCAAAGCACTAGCCTGCCAATTGAGAGAGCCGAGTCCGAGTCGTGGGGCAGTGAAGATTTTTTTCATTTTTATTTAATTTTTGTTTATTTTTTTAATAAATATTTTTTTTAAGTTTATTTTTAGCTTAGATTTTATTATTTTAAATAGAAAAATATTTTTTTTTTTAAATAAATTTTTATGATATTAAAGTAATTAGGTGTATTTCCTAATAAATTGTCGCTAAACTATTATTTCCTCGATTCATACAAAATATTAATTCATTAAATAGCGTCTAGCAGGTGAATGCGTGTATGTACATATCGAGCCCTAACCGCCAAAATAACGTAAGCGACATTTTTTTCAAAATTTTCTTTTTGATGCAGAAATACTCCTAGAGCATCTAGATGCATTTCTGCATCAAAAATAAAATTTTGAAAAAAATGTCGCTTACGTTATTTTGGCAGTTAGGGCTCGATATGTATGTATGTATGGCATTGGTATTTTACGTCTACGTTTACACAAATATATGGAATTATATCAAACTATAACAAATTTGGAGTATAATAAATATTTAATATTAAAAATAATGCAGCTTTCGTCCACTATTTTTAAGATTGAGTGATTTTAAATTTTGTTCCGACAGCATAATCTCGTCGTAAAGTATCTGTACGAATCTTCATTGCGAACGGATTCAATGAAGGCTCTCTACGAATTTCGAATTTACGTTCGTAGCCATTCGGATTCTGTGATAGCACTTTCGTAGATTTCACGAAAATCGAAGCTACGATGGATTCTGTGATAGCCCTGATTATATTAGGGCAGTATTTAAAACAACAAATAAAATTTATTACATATAGATTATAGAATGAATAATTTTTTTAGAGTTATACACATACATATTTACATACATAACATGCATATTTATATATGTATGTATGTACGTATTTATGTATGTATGTATTTATGTATGTGTACTAGGGCGGGTCAATTAGTATGGATAGATTTTTTTCGACATTGTTCCCAGCATATTCCGGTTCTTCATAAATTTCTAAGAAAAAAATTCTTCCAGACCATAGCTCTAAGGTCAATTTCGAGCCTGCGCATTTTTAAAAGAAGATATATTATATATAAAAATGAATTGCTGTCCGTTAACCTCGCTAAGACTCGAAAACGGCTTGACTGATTTGAATATTGTAATTTTTTTGGTTTATTTTATAATATCAGGATGGTTAAAACCAGAAATAATAGAGAGTTGCCACCTGTTAAAAAATTTCAGTATAAGTATATTAATGACATATATTAGATATTGCAATGTGGGTGTAAAAAGAAAGAGGTTAAGAAGGCTTACAGCCGAAAATATTTTTGAGGGGGGTTGCCACCTGTTTCAAATTTAATTTAATTAAATTGGTAAAATAAATTAAATATTGCAATATGGGTATCAAATTAAAAAGGTTTAAGAAGGCTTACTACTGAAAATATTTTTGAGTCGAGTTGCCACCAATTTCGAAAATTTAATTCAATTAAGTTAATATGATAATGTATGTATTATAATATAGGTGTCAAACGAAAAGTATTTGAAAAATTATTGATGAAGAAA